GTCGAGGGAGACATGTGGCAAGCTGATTTCTTTCGCCCCACTTCTCCACATGAAATCTCTGAACTATTTTTCTTTTTCTATTTCTTTTCTCCATAATTAGTGTGTGAAGTGTGAACTAGTACCTTGTGAGTTCTTTATTTTAAATCGTATTGTGAAACTTTGTTATGTGTAATAACCTCAACTCGGGCGAGACTGTGCGTGTGTTTGTGTTTTGTTTTGTTTTTTTTGTTTTTCCTTTGAAGCTCAAACAACCTACCCCTGAAATTTCTCCAACTTTCATTCACCAAGCCATGAGGTAACATCGTTCTACCCCCTATTTTACGCCATTGAGGGCAATGTCGAGCTTAAGTGTGTGTGGGGAGGGGGGGGGGGGTAGTCTACTTTATGTTTGGGTGTGTGAGTGAATGCTTGCAACCTCGGTGTATGCCCAAATTTGACAAATTTGAGGGCTACAATCAATGCACGATCAAAATGGCCGGTTGGTGGGTGAATCTCGTGCTTATTTGGCATCGATCTTGAATTGTTGCATGTAATCGAGTGCATCCTATTATGATGATTGAGAATGCATTAGGATTTTGCAAAAGCTTAGTTCTCATGTGTGTTTAAATGAATGGATGTCTTGACTTGGTTACTACTTGATTACAATTGCCATGCATTGAAGTTTTTGAAATTGGAATAGACGATTGGGCGGTAAGGTAGCCATGTGAGTTTTGTGTCGATCGTCTTTTTCATGTGTGATAGATCCCTCTCGCCATGGTGTGTAACATTCATCGTTATCACTAGTGAGTATGATGGAGGCATAGGATTAGCCCACACCCAAAATTTGATTGTCCTGAAACATTTTATCCCCTAGTCAACCCCTTTGAGCCGTGTGATTTTGGGGGTCGCTCTAATGCTAGGAGCTTCGTGCTCGATGAGTTTAATGGTGATTGAAAGAATGACCCCCACCCATCCTTTCTTCGGGTCAAAGTGTGAGTCATCCTTGTGTCTTGGGGTTCTCGCTTTTGAGCTCCATTGAGGTTCTACATAGGTGGTTTTGCACGGTTCTTGCTAGAAATGAGAAGGTCGTGTTGGAGGGAAGTTCTTAAAAGGAGAACATTGTTCATTAAATGAAAAAAGTGGCATGTGTTTAGCTCTGTAGTACCCCCTCGAAAAAAAAGATAAAAAGAAAAGAAATAACAAAAGAAAGAAAAGAAATGAAAAAGAGGTGATAAAACGGGGTAAATAAAAGTAGAGAGTGGCCACAAAAGTCTAAGTGTATGCTCTAGAAAGGGTTTCTTGGCATTCAAGCCATTGAAACACCTAAATTGTTTGATGAATTTCTTCACTACTAGGTTTGAAATGCGAATGGAAAGACAGGCCGGAGAAGTGTGCTTGAATTTAGTACGTGATTGGTAGTGGTTTGGAAGAAGGGAAGTGTGGTTTTTGGCCTATGCTAGTGGCCTTTGTTTGTAGGAAAGGCTCTTAGTCGAGACCATAGAACCTTGGGTTTTAGGTTGAAGATGTAGGACCTCATGCCATGTTTTCAACCACCCAGAAAGCCTTTTCCCCATGTCTAAGACAATTGCCAGTCATTTGAACCTGTGTCTAAGACATCCGGACAAGCTAGTGATGACAACCGTCCTGTGAACTCTAGTATTTATAGGTTTCCGCCATGGTGGAGAGACTATAGGTCAGAGTGTGGATAACTGTGCACATCTTTTGCACCAAAAAGATCCCGACCCCACTAGTCGAGAGTGAGTGATTCATTCTGGTTTTTCATGTTCATATCTTACCCCAGTGAGGACCTATGTTGCCCATTTGTCTGTTCCTTGGACTTGAGTTCTATGCATGGTTAGTTGTGGTTGGTGATTAGTCCGGTCGAGACTTGCATTGATTTGTAAAAAGGGTGAGAACTTTTCATTTGCCCATTCTTGATGCAATCGAATGTCGTTTGTGGTGGATGCCAATATTGTTTGAGGCGGTTCATATGTTGATGCCCAAATAGTCATTGAGATTCACCGCTTTGCGCCTTTTGATTTGTCCCCAAGTTATCTTCTTAGGTTGAGATATCACCTAGGTTGAAAATGGTTTGCTTGGGGACAAGCAAACGTCTAAGTACGGGGGAGTGATTCAGGCTCATTTGTATATTTTTTGCCACCGTTTTACTTAGTCGTTTGAAGCATTTTTACTCGGGAGGTTTTGTTTTACGCCGGGTTTTGCATTGTTTTGGTGTTTTTCAGACTTTGTCAGGTGGAACCAATCCCGGAGTCGAAAGTTGGACGAAAGGGCGAAAAATAAAGTCAAACGGTGGAAACAGCAGCAGATCACGGTTAATAAGACCATGAACTGGAGGCGCTACCTGTGAACAACCAGATATTCAGAGCACAAACAGCTTTCACTGGACACAAGTCAGTTCACAATCGTAAAACCGTGAACTCAGGCCATTGGCCGTGAAGTGGGATTAGTGATGCGGTGTGTTTCGACTTTAGTTCACGGTCTGGGCTTTCAGTTCACGGTCGTGAACTAAGACCGCGAACTGAGTCCGATCTGGGTATATAAAGGAGGTTGAGCTGAAGGAAAAAAAGAGAGAGACCTAGTGTGATAAACTTCTTCTTCTTTAGATTTCTAGAGAGCGAAAGTGGTGAACCAAAGAAGAGGAGAAGCTAGGGTTTCATCTTCAAGCAAGGAATTGGGAATTGCTCCCCCAAAGCAGGATCTCTTCAACACAAGGAGCAAGCTAGCATCTCTTTGATGGTTTCCCTTCTTCTCTCTTGTGTTTTCCCTTCTCCTAGCATGGAGTAGTCCCTTCTTTCACTTGAGTGTTTGTAAACCCTAGCTACGATTATGTGAATACTTGTATGGATTGAATGTTTTGTGTGTGGTTGTGTTTAATGTGAATGTGGAGGTATTATTCATGAATGATTGTGTAGTGTGAAAGCTTATCAATCTAATTTCCATTCTAACCTAGGTAGAGAGAAAACCCCCCTCCCTTTCTTTGAAAGAGGCTTGAATGCTAGGTTATCTTAGGCAATTCATTGTCTCCTATCTGGGTTAATGCAGGGAAAACCTCTTATTTCGTATTAGCACTTAGGGTTTGGTTTTGGGTGGCCGTACGAACTCCGATTCGAGGGTGAAGTCTAACCAACCCTTAGTCAATAGGTCGAGAGAGTCACGTCGGTGGCTTGGATCATATCCCCTTCTATCGACCTAGAGAATAAGAGAGTGGCGTTGGCCACTTGTTACACTACCCTACGGTTTACAACCCCCTCACCACACACGACCATTTACCTTTGCAAACGCTTAGTTATAGATTATTGTTTTCACAAAAAACCAACAGCTAGATAATGTTTCAAGAAATCGAAGTAGGGGTATATATACCAGCCCGGGTCGATATTTAAACATACTTGCCCTGTACTGCACCCATTTAAGGTTTATACTTGGGCCTTAATTGATAGTTTTATTGTGGTGCATTCGGAGGTGAGTCAAAAAGTTATGAATTGTAACAAGAAAGATGCACACCAATGCTTGATGCAAACCAACGTTTGATGCAAACCAACGTTTGACACCAATTTCTTCATACAACGATTTCATGTGAACCCTTCCTTGGTCAACCGAATCATGACTGACGTTATTCAACGCGACGACTCCTACTTCTGACGGATGCTTAGTCGATTCACTAAATGTGATAATCATAATAGGTGAGTCAACCACACAAAACTGCATATGCAATTTTTGTAATGCCATCATTAACATCTACCATGAGTAATTACGAGTATGAAACATGGAAGATCTTTGCTGCCTACTTGATCATAGTGTGCGTCATGAATTCTCGGATATATGACAAACGATACCATTTACGATCAATGGTATTACCTAGCCGATATGATTTACTTATAATGGGCTACATTTGTGAAGACCTTTAGTCACCCAAATAATAAATTTCAAATGTTGAAGTTGTTATTGGTTATTGGTTAGCGGTAAACTGTCAAACTACTGCTAAATGAACTGATAACAAGAGGTTAATCGATAAGTCTTGTCGATTCAGTATTGGTATACATTTTTTGACCACCCCTATTCTTTATGAACTGATCCAAATATTCGATGCGGTCAAGTGCGACCATACTATTTTCCACTCTTATATCCTATAATGGGACGACTAAAAGATATGGATATTTTTTTTTATTAAGGTGATATAAGTTTACTTTTTATAGTTAGGTACTGCTAGGAGATTTGAACATGGGATCTTCAAGTTGAAGACAAGTGTTATTACTACTAGACTAAGTCCCTATTTTGTAAAGGTATGAATATACTTTGAAAATTTTATTTTTGCAAAATATTATAGTAAAATATTTATATTATTCTTGAAGGGTCTTTCTAAATTCTAATCCCAAGCTTCCAACTACACATTTGGGTTGCATTTGTTTGTTTTTCATGGGCAAAAGTAAAACAACCCGAAGATAGAAAGTAGAAGTTCAGTTGGGTGGACAACATCAAGTATAAAACATTTTGGGCCCTGGAGGAAGGATTTGAAGCAAAATGTGTAATGAACAAAGGGGATGGAAATATGGAGAATTGGGCACGCACTGGTTATTCTTTTAATTAACTGACCGAATAAAGGAGCCCGCCCAGCCAAGTTGGGCTCGGATTTGAGTGATGGGCCGAGCTACGGTGAGCTAAATAGAAATGGGCGTTGGCCGTGGAGACTGCGGGGTAACTGGGCGAGGTCTTATGGATTTTAGACACAAACTAGCTTATGACCCGGCCCCTTGGCCGGAGGTAGCCAGAAAAAATTGATAGCGGAACTCTTACTAATAATATCAACCTATTAGAATGTGGGCCTCGTTGGTCGGAGATAGACCAAGAACACAATAGTAATTTGAAGATAAGTCGTTGAACCATTGCAAGCAGAGCAACATAAAATTATTAGTACAATAAGATTACACGCACCACTTGCCTAATAATGCTACCACTTTCTAAAATCGCTCCTGTGTTAGTACTGCTACTCCTAATTGTGTGTATCATCTAGTTTTCTTGTTTGCTTGTTGCTCCTGTCAACAGCTAAGGTATTGATGCCACACCATAATTTTGAGTAGAGGTTCAATGCTAATTGTACAACAGCTATTGTTATGGTTCTCTTTTTTATTTCAGTCCACTTTTACTACTCCTTTTTTCCTCCCCTTTCCTCTTTGGGTGCAATAAAGCCTTCGCCTTTATAGAAAAAGAAATGGCTTAATTGCAAGTTTGGTCACTCGAATTGCTATAAAATTTCACGTTTGCCACTCAAATTAATTTATTCCATTTATAGTCACTCGAATTAGTTGAACAGTTCAAGTTCGGTCACTCTCCGTTAACCTCCGTTAACTTTGACTGACGTGGCGGTCAACTCTGACAGTTGACCGTTAAATGTGTGACGTGGCAAATAAAAAATAATTAAAAAATAAAAATTAAATTTGTAGAAATTACACATCATTATCACAAAAAAATTATAATTATAAAAAATGAAAAACGACTGACGTGGCGTTTTCTTCTACTTAAAACCCACCCCCCGATTTTACAATTCTTTATGCTTGGATGAAGCTTCTGCGGCGGCGGCGGCGACATAGGGGATTTCGTTTTCCTCCCGCTGCGACGGGCTCCTCCAGAACCCGGTGTCGTAGAAAGTCTCCCACATCTCCTTCTCCAGCTTCATCATCTCCTCCCCGCCTCCGCCGCCGGAGCGGAGCTTCCTGAGGACGTCGCCGTCGTCGGCGTCGTCGAAGTCCTCCATGTGCATCCCCATCATCATCTGCGGGTCGAACGACTGCGGGTCGCCGTGGATCGGGTGGATCTGGACCTCGGTGTTGTCGCAGCCGCACTGGCAGCGGCGGGCGCGCGGGAGGAGGAGCCCCTTCTTCATCAGGTGCTGCCGCCGCTTCCGCCGCAGGGCCTTCGTTGCCGCGCTGCTACGGAGACGAGAGCGGCAGTTACATGAACAACTTTGCTGATGAAGAATATGACTGGTCGTTGTGGAAGACATTAATTTAATTAATCGTTGTGGGAAAGAGGTAGGGAGTCCGTACTACTCGTGAAAATTTTGAAGTAATGAGGGAGTGGCCTTTGCTTGCTTGCTGAGAGCCTCAGACATTCTGTAAGGGAAATTAGACAGTCGCGGCCTCGTGCTCCTTTTTTGAGCTGAGGTTGTCTTCTTCCAATCGTCGACCATTGTTTTCTGGGACGAGGGACTGCAGTGTGCTCGTAATATCCGATCCACACCAGCAAGTCGGAGGGACGACTCCAGGAATAATGCTAGCTTCTCGATTGTTGCGGCGACTTTTTTTGCTCGCCGTCGATGCTGCCCCTGCGGCCTGGCGAACCTCCTCTTCCTCACAATCTACAAGGTCCCCGTGGGGCTCTGCCGGAAGGCCTCGTCGATGCTGCCGCCACGTCAGTCGTTTTTCATTTTTTATCATTATAATTATTTGTGATAATGATGTGTAATTTCTATAAATTTAATTTTTATTTTTTAATTATTTTTTATTTGCCACGTCACACATTTAACGGTCAACTGTCAGAGTTGACTGCCACGTCAGTCAAAGTTAACGGAGGTTAACGGAGAGTGACCGAACTTGAACTGTTCAACTAATTCGAGTGACTATAAATGGAATAAATTAATTTGAGTGGCAAACGTGAAATTTTATAGCAATTCGAGTGACCAAACTTGCAATTAAGCCGAAAAGAAATACAATCCTGTCAATAAATAGAAATATCTTTCGAGTTACCGTCCAGATCAATTTCAACAATACATGTCATTGAAGATAAAGTACCAAGTAAGATATCCAAAATCGAAAGGTAATGCCAAGCAGAAAGACACAAAAAGCAAGAAGAATACAACCCAGGAGATTTCAAAATGTATTAAAGAGTACATACTGGAGTTATGATTAGATGTTACACAGGATAAATAATGATGAGTAAGCTAATTAGACCAATAAGAACTAAGAGAAAACATAGACAAAGAAGCTTGCAACGTGAAAGAGAACTCCCAAGAGTATAATGCACCACGTAATCTCTACAGAATGCTGTGAAATACAAAAGACCCCCAATGGAAAATTCGAGGCTCGTCTAAGTGTGTCAATACATCCTAAACCTTCTTCCAAAAAAAAAACCCATGTCCCTAACCAGCAAGCGAGCCACCAAATTCGATAATCGCCCTGTTGAGTAAGCGAACGTACACAAAAGGAAGTTCTCTGGCCAACAACCTATATACTAAGAGATCAACTCTCACCTGCATACGAAGGAACAAATGAACAAAAAACCCCAACATAAGCAAATCATGGAAATTTTGATAATGAAAGCAGAAACAACACCAAACCTGTGTAATCATGTTTAGTAATATAGTGAGAATCTTAGGTCAAAATAGGTATACTCTAAGTTTCATAGAGAGAGGTTGACAAAAAAGCACCTGGTCCTTTGCAACCAATTTGGGCCTCAACAGAGAACTGAACAACCCTATGTGAACCTTCTAATCCTGCATCACCAGGTGCATGAAAGAAACATTAGGAAGCCAAGCGTCACCAAGGGCCATAATTTTTTAGGGCATAACATTATGTAAATACAACAAAAGCATGAAGAGTATCTGTTGTTGAAGGAAAGTGTGGAGTTGAAGAAACCGATTCAGTGATTCTACTTTGAAGAATTTCATCATTTTATATAACAAATTCAGCATGCCTTGTGAATTATGACTGCATTACTCAAACAACTGCACACCACCTTTCTTTAAACTCTTCAAATCTGAATACTCATTCAAGGATATAAAAAAAGACAAATAAAAGAAAAGATAAACTGGACAGAGGGAAAAAAGAAGCAACAGGTATGCCTCAAACTAACCCAAACACATAACCTCCCTGGAACAGTTGACAATTAACAAACTGTAATTCATCAAAACCCATATCAGCAAAAGATACGTACATTTCCCTCAAACACCAACCAGCCAGCCACAGTGACAGAGTTCAATAGGCAACTAAGCGATCTCAACATGATTTTCCAACAACACATCACAAAACATACAAACACCTAGGATAAGCCAAACATAATAGGACCAATACTAACGAACCAACAAAATAAAATTACAGCGTAACAATTTTTACTATTTGGTTGTGCATTTGCATGTTAAAACAAAGACTTGAAGGGGATATTTAATGCAAATCAATCTTAAACGATTATCATACTTGCATGAGTGTAATGATTATTATTCAACCAATGACGATAATAACTAATGAGGTAACCTTAACTCCCCCAAATGAGTCTCTGGAAGACCCTAAACAGGAGGACTTCTACATTTAAACCTTCTTTGCCCTCTAATCACATCATAAGACAATTCGAGTGAGGAACTATCAACAATTAGTTGAGGAATAATTATTGTCCAATCGATGAAACCTACTCACTCAGAACAGAAACTCTTACTGGCGAACTTAGCTATCAAAATCCCAAAATCCAAGTGGAAAAAATAAGACTATGGGGAGCTTAATTCAAGCTACTGAAGGAGTCTGCATTATACAAATGCTAATCGTGCAAACTGTGGTCTCAGTTCAAGTAATCATGCAACCTATGATTCTGCAACTTAAGAGTAGACAGAAACAATCAAGAATAAAGCCTATATACTCTATTGACTGAGTATGAAGTTGTCCTCGCATTCAGTTCTACAACATCATGAATTTAGTTTTGCAACTTAAGAGAATACAACCACACCATATTCGTGGATTCAGTTATGCAACTTAAGAGTTGTTCATGATGTTGCCCAATTCTTCAAAAATCATACTTCCAAATCTCATGCACATTAATTACCACTATTAATTCCACGATGTGAAGCAATGATTGAAAGAGCCAAAACAGACTGTAAGGCAAATGAAATGGAGCAACAGCAACAAATTCCAGATTTTAATGGTTTCATTATATTATTTGAAGATCCTAAGGTGAAAGAAGAAAAAGCAGCAACCAAATAAAATGGCCATTTAGAGGGAACCAACTCCTGCAAGGATAATAACAGAAGTTTGTATACCCGAACCTGAGGTATGATATTCCAAGTGATTGTACATAAAGAGATAACTGGATTATCCTAATAATCAAAAGAGCCAATATATTTCCCACAAACAACTATATAACATCAACGGTTCCACACAGTAAGACACTGCAAATTGATTGAAAGCAGAAATCATCTAACTACTATCTTGTAATCAAACAACTAAACCATTATAAGCAAAAACATCCACTACTTAATTCATTGCAAAGAGCTAAAGAAGGAAACAACTTAATTGTTCTGATAGTGTATGTAGAATGCAATTCTCTATTCATCGCTTTCTGAGATTCCAGGAGCTTTCCTCTTGTAGCTCTTGAGTGCAGGTGTTGCATTTTCTTTGCCAATCTTATTTAAAACAATTAGTGCTAGAATTGTGATACTGTCAACAAAAACCTTATACAACCACAATAACCCAGCTTATTGGATTCAGCAAAATTTGTCTCTGTCAAATCAGGAGACCTGAACTGCACATAGTGCAGCTTGCTTTGAATTTTGATGCTATTTGCAGTAGCAAATTGAAATTGGCTACCACTAACACGAAACCAAAAAGTGCGTTCTGAAAAGTTTGACCGCAAGAAAAGAGTCCTGAAAATGCATCAAACTTATGGGGAAAAACCAATACAATGCGGCACCACAACTTACACGGCAAGGTGTATAAAAATATTCCCTGAGAGTACGACTACCGGCTCCAAAGTAAGGAAGCAGCAAGCTTGGCAATTCTCTTTCAAAATTTAATATCACAACGCTGTCTAGAAGTTGTGTTCACAACCATTTCAAGAAATGCAGAATCTATTTGGTCCATCTCTTCTGTAAAAATTAATCCAAACTTCTGCATCTTCAACCTGTATCGGTACATAGGAATTTAAGGGGTTAAAGATTGATAATATTTCAGAAAGATCCCACCTTTTTGCATTGCATTGTACTGCTACACTAAATGTTGACCTTTGTAATTCAACCCAAATTCAAATTCATCAAGATAAAGCTCCCAAGCATTCCCAAGTTCGAGATTTTATTAGATCACCAAATTATTATTATTATTTTTTTGAGTGACCAAATTATTCTTCTTAAACGGAGAGAAGGGGAGGAGAAATTACAGGCGAGAATGGATGGGAACGAATGGGAATGGCAGACCTACAAAATGAAAGGAAAAAAGACTAACGGGACTGATTCATCAAAGGCATGATAATTCTATTTTAGTTGGGGAAAATGGTCTGGGACTCTGGGTAGATTAACCATACAGAAGGATCACAGGTTGCTCGAGGTAGTAGAACTCAACATTCAATAACGTAAAGGAAGCACGCGGGCAAATTGCAATCCCAAACCAGAAGGAAAAAATCTCATGCGGGCCATATTTCTAATCAACAATTTCTTAATACACAGAAACCTAAACAACTATAGCTAAAAGAATCACACACATAGGATGAATCAGGGAGAGGTTATTTGGGTATGGGTAGTGTTCGTTAGCTAATTAAGTAATCAGTGGTGGTGATGTTGATAACAGTTGTGCCTGGTTTCAATAGGCGGAGGCGGATGGAGATTTTCGGTTGACGGATGGCAGGAGACAGAGAAGAAATCAAAAGCCTGGGTTAGAGAACTGATATGGCTCAAACTTCTAGCCGGCGCTGTTCAGGGGTCAAGCTAATATGAGGCCAATTGGGACAGAATTCAAAACAAATTGGCGCAGCCGAAAGAGGGGAAGGTAGAGGAAAACCTTACCTATAGAGCACTTCGCACAATCGTAGTCAGTGTACGGGGTTGCTACAGGCGATGAGGTTGTTGTGAGTCAGTCAGCGGCTGCTTTGCAGAGGACAGTAGGTGCGGCGGGGGAATGGACGTTAAGCGAGAGAGAACTCTGCGAAGTTTATTCCGAGTCGCTGGAACAGTTTTCTCTTCGTCGCCTCTTACAATCAGTAAGCCCGTTCAGATCCACGTGTGCGGGCCGTAAAATATGCACTTTCCAAAATTGTCCCGCCGCAAAACGCTCTGGAGACAGGGATTTTGAAATGGGGAAGCTGTTTTCCCCTTCAGCGTATTATAAGTATAGATAGATAGATAGATAGATATAGTAGACTAATCGGTGCTTTACTGCTTTCATTTCATGAGTGTTATTTTGTTTCACATAGAGAAATGAGATTGCCAAAGTTCGAATACACGATCTCTTGATCAATTATTCTTAATTAAATGTATTTTAATTTTCATTTTCGATAAACTATTGAACATATTTATTCATTTTTCTCTCGAGTTAGAGTGAGTCTGTTACACTCTCCTTTCGCCCTGGTTAAAGAAAGTCTGATCCAACCTCTTGCTTCTGCTACTCATCTTCTTCTTCCTTTCAATATGCAGAATCTTCCTTTCTTCGTCAATTGAACTTTTGCTCTATGATAGATTATGCTTCATAAATAATAAGATTTTATATTATATTAGGCGTGGAAGGCCGCTTTCCATGGCGGCTTTTTGTATGTGTTTTATATTTGGATTGTATTTGCAATCTCGTGTGTTAATTTTTTTTTATTTTTATGAATACGTGTGTGTGTTAATTTTATAGGTTCAACAATAGAATGTATTTAGGAGTTATTGGTAGAAAGGATGAATGAAAACAAAATTATACTTAGAATGCGTAGAAAGAAAATAAAGTGTGGAAGAAAATTGATTGTGATGTTTAGATTTCTCCCTTGCAACTAGGATAACGGATTTTGTTTTTCCATCTTTTATATTCTCATCCAAAAACCTTATTCCTTGTCACCATCATTAGCACATGCTTCGTATATTCTCAACTCCATTGTGATCATGATCTCTTATTGCCGTCTTATGTTCCCGTGTTTACTTTCTTTACCGAGAGATCAAATTTTATTGGGTGAAACTGAATTGTATGTGGTCACTAGAATTATAAGTTTGTTTCATGTTTGCCACTCAAACAAATTTCCTTTCTGATTCGTCATCAATATTACACTTATATCATCCATGATTACTCTCTATTTCTACTCCATTATCTTTGTTCTAGATGATAATCAATAGTTATTGTTGGGCATGTGACTCGGACCTAGCCGCGCCAGGGAAGCACACCGACGTTACTCCCGATGTCGCCAAGCACGTTAGGGCGCGACGCGATCGAAGGCGCTCCAGCATGAAGGCCTCGATCGCGGCACAGCGTGAAGATCGCGAGCGCGTCACCTCGAGCGCGGCACAGGCTACACACGCACGTGGAAAGATCAAGCATTGACCCGACCAAAGAGCCGCAGCAGGCGACATCACTCTTCCAGAGGGGTGGTCACATCAGGGTCATAGATACAATCATAGAGAAACCCCTGACATGTCCTAGGTAGGGGTATGTCCTAAACCTCTGACATGTCAGTGGTAATGTCATTGTACCGTCATATACCTCACCCACCACCATGTAGCCTATAAATATGGCATTTACTCCGGTGGGTGAGGGGATCGCAATTTCCAGACTCTATCTCTACAAACATCAACTTCTCTCTCTAAAACACGAATTCTCTCAACCTCGTTCTCCAAGATCTTAGTCGATTTCCCTTGCTTACTCCCCTTGACCCACTTTCTTTCCCGAACCTCACTCCTACACTCAGTTAGGTTCAAACAATTGGCGCCCACTGACTCGACTCTACTGTCACTCTAGAAAATGGCCAAGTGTAACCACTTCCTAAAGCGTAGTATAGCGGGTTTGGGTTTTAATGTCAACCCGGGTCCTAGATGTGATGACTACTCGGTGAACTCTTGTTATTTAGCAGTGAACTTTTAGTGAAACTCAAGCAAACAAAACACAAAGCAAGTAAACGGTTTGTTGTCAAGTCAAGAGAGGTCACCCGGATATGGTTTCCCCCTAGACTGCAGTTAAATCAGATTGCAATTTACCAAGTCAGTTTTCATGAAAGTTATACTGCGGAAGGTTCTCAATTAGCCTGAAGTCTCGACTAAAGGTCTCCAGACCCTCTCAATCTGAGTCTCTAGCGGGCGACTAACCTCCACCGGAGTAAACAGATTGAGGCCCTAATGAACCAAACCTCCACTACCGAATTGACTTCGGTACAGAATAGCGAATTGGCCCCTCGACTAAAGTCACCAATTCACCACCTTCGATTAAGGGTACTCTATCAACCTAGGCAGATATTCTCATTCCAGGTCAAAGCAGAAACAACAGGAATTTGATCAGGATTCAAGTCATTCAATCATTCAAACCTCAATCGAATATAATCAATTCACAAACACTGTACTTGGGTTCATACAATCAGACCTAGCATACAAATCTAGGGTTCTCCATACCCAGATGAATGGGGAAACTACTCCATAGAGAAAGAAGCAAAAGCAGATTCAGACACGGAAATCATACTGTGAAGTTGGATTCCTGCTTCTGGACGTTTAATCGCACTTCTCCAAGCTCAAGACGGGCTCCAATGGTGTTGAAGATCGATCTATGGCGCTTGAGAACTCTGGTTCGACGCTTTCTCTCTCTAGGTATCGGTTTCTCTCTCAAAAACTCGGAACCCTTCAATGTTGACCTTCTTCTTCCTTAAATCAGCTGCCTGGTCGCGATACCCGGTCAAAATACCCGGTCGGGTATTTTGGGTTTCGACCGGGTATCTCTGCAGCGCACCGTTTCACTAAAGGGGGAAATCCCCGGTCCAACACCAAAATCCCCGACCGGGGATTTAACTGCTGTGCCCGGGCCCCTCTCTGCTTCTCGGGCGCCCAAAAGTGGTTAACACCCGGTCGGGTATTTGGCCAACCGACCGGGTATTTTCCTCCTTCAGCCCTATTCGTCCCAACTTTGCTCCTTTCGACCCAGAACTCGTTTCTCCGCCTCGATTCCAACGCCGGGACCTGAAATATGACATAAACACACAACCTAGCGTGAAATCGGCTTAAAACACGAGATTCCTCGTCACAAACGGCCTCAGAATAGGGGTAAAAACATGTATAATTATCAGTCTATCAAACTCCCCCACACTTAACTGTTTGCTTGTCCCCAAGCAAACCAAGTCAGACACTAGGTAAGCTTACAATTCACTCAACCAACACTGGGGACAAGTCATAAAGGCACAAAACACGTGAATCGCACTGGTTTTCAAACATCAATACATGCACAACCACAATAACAACCTGGACAACCACCACAAAGGACATTCGAGTGCAGCAAATCGAGTAAAGGAAGAGTCTCCCGTCTGTTCACTAGCCAACCTAGACTTGATTCAACCACTTACTCAAAACAGTCAGTTCATGCATCCAACTCAAGACATCAGAATAGAGACCGAGCAATCTAGGTCCTCACCGGGGTACAAGAGCATATAGAAAATGAAAACGAATCACTCACTCTCGACCAGTGGGGTCAGGACAATTTTGATGCGAAAGATGCGCATGCTATTTCTCTCAATCCCTATCATCTCTTCACCATGATGGCAGCCTCTAAATGCTAGAGTTCACATATGGGGTGTCACCACTAACTAATCAGGAGGTCTTAGACACAGGTTCAAATGACTGGCTAGGGTCTTGGACATGGGGAAAAGGCCTTTTAGGTGGTGGAAGTATTCATAGCAAAAAGGTTCCACATTTTCCAAACACACAATCACAGTCAAACAACCCGGTATTTTCTTTCTGCTATTCTGCATTACTAAATATCTTAAGAGCACAAGAGCGAAGGAGGCATAATCATCAGCATTTCCAAGCCAGACTGCTAAGAAACACTGCTTACTGGGCATTATTCAGATTTTTGGTAGTGGCTCTCTTCTACTATCAATTTTTCTTTGTTTTTCTTTCATTTTTCTTTTCATTTCTTAAGAGAACCACCACTTCTGCACAATTCAAACATCAGCCCAACTTTTAAGCACTACCTCCAACACTCACATAGACTTTAGCAGAAACAGCAGAGAATATATAAAACCACTCTGTGGAACCTTCTAAAAGATGCAACAAGGGTGATTTTTTTCATTATAGACCAAAAGAAAGGACAACACACGGCTCAAAGGGGCTGACTAGGGGATATGACACATCAGGACAGTCAGTTTTGGGCGTGGGCTAATCCTATGCCCCCATCATTTTAGCTAGTGACAACGTGAATGCTACACATCATGGAAGAGGGATCTATCGCACAAGAAAGAAACGAGCAGGCTCAAATCTCACATGGCTACCTATATGCTCTATCTCACATTCTGATACCCTGAACTAGATGCATAAACGACTGTCAAGGACAAGTAATCAGATCAAGTCGGATCAAGTCACAGTTGGCAAGCAAACAGTTGAAAAACTGAACCCCTACATCGTTCTACTGCACATTTCAGTCCTCATCATAGGTTGTCCTAGTCGCAAACAAGTTGTCATGCATTAATCCGAAAACCAATCAATTCATCCATCAAAACACAGTGCCAATATGATCAAACAGCAGTACTTGGAGCCCTCATATCGTAAGATTTGGACAGTGGACTAGGCTCCAAGCACACAAACAGAGCTAATGCAGTCAAAAGATAAACATTCCCCCCACACTTAAGATCGACATTGCCCTCAATGGAGAAGAGGGAAGGAAAGGGGAACGATGTTACCGGTGTGCACAGACTGCAGAAGACTGGAAATGGACCAGTCGGCATGGGACGGACTGGAGAGAGGACCAGTCGGGAACACAGGCAGAGCTAAAAGAGACCAAAAAGCTCAAACACATACGTTAGGTCCAATGTCAGCCCAATAAGACATCATCCAAAACAAAATGAAACAAACCAAAACCAACTGGTTGGCAATCCGACTCGAAACAAAAGAAAGAAAATCAAACCGTGGTGGGGTTGCCTCCCCACAAGCGCTTCTTTACCGTCTTTTAGCTGGACGCCCATGGTGGATACTCAGGGAAGTGCAGGAACAGGTGCCTCCAAGAGCGGATCCACATCGCTCTTGAGGTACAGCTTCAGGTGGTAACCGTGCACCCGACGGTTGCAACCACCAGCAGAAGTCAGCTCGACCTGGCCATCCGGCAAGATGCAGGCGAGTGAGTACTCGGATGGCCAGGGTGGTCGCGGTGCAGGGGGTGGGACCAGCTCATAGTGGTCTCCACCTTTCTTCCGTGCAGGCTTAGCAGCTTGCGGCTTCGGCCGCCACTCCTCCTTGATTTTTTTGTTCGGAGGCGAGGCTGGATGGAGTGGCGGCGAAGGAATGATAGGAGGGTCCTGCAAAATGAGAGGTGCAGAAGGATACACGACAGGCTCGTGTATCTGGTCAGAAATAGCATGCACAGGGGTGACAGCAATCATAGCACAGTGATCAAACTCAGTCACAGAAAAAGTAGCCTGTTCATTCCCAGCACGCAGAATCAGTTTACCATCATGCACATCAATCAATGCCTTGGCGGTGGCAAGAAATGGTCTACCCAGAATCAAAGGCACATCCACATCATCATTTATATCCAGAATAACAAAATCAACAGGATATGTGAATGCACCCACATTAACAAGCAAATCTTCTATGATACCCCTAGGATGCACCACAGAACGATCAGCTAGCTGAATGCTCATCCTAGTAGGGCTAAGTTCACCTAGGTCTAGCTTTTTGAACAATTTATATGGCATGACATTAATGCTAGCTCCTAGGTCCGCCAAGGACTTTCCTAAATGCATGCTGCCAATAGTAAGAGGGATAGTAAAACTCCCTGGGTCCTTGCGCTTTTCGGGCAGCTTGTTCTGCAGGATGGCAGAACATTCCTCGCTCAGCAGCACTGTCGAGAGATCCCCAAGTTTCTTCTTGTTGGTGCAGAGATCTTTCATGAACTTAGCGTACTTGGGCATCTTCGACAGTGCCTCCACAAATGGTATGCTGATGTTGAGCTGCTTCAACATTGCCATGAACTTGGCAAACTCAGTCTCCAGCTTATCTTTATGGAGGCGAGTGGGGAAGGGAAGCTGGGGTACATGCTCCTTCACCACTGGTTGTGGCTTGGGAGCAGGGGCTTTCTTCTCCACCCGCACTTCTGCATCACCGGCTGGAAGTGCTGAAGCAGGTAATGGTTCCTCCTGCCTGGTCGGGGCAGGATCAGCTGATGTAGGCCTGCCGCTCAGGGTGAAAATGGCATGTGCGGTCTCGTGCGGGTCCCGTGGATTGGGGATGGTGGTGGCAGGTAGAGTCCCCGGGGCCCGAGCAGTAAGCTGGCGCGCTAGGAATCCGACTTGGTGCTGTAGATCTTGCAAAATAGCACCCTGGTTCCTCTGCCCTGCCTCCAAAGAAGCTATGCTCTGGTCCACCCTTGCGAAATTCGCCTGGCTGGTGGTCATGAATGTCGCCAAAATGTTCTTCAGATCAGCCATCTGATTATCGGGAGCTGCGGCTGCTGGAGGCTGAGCAAACTGGCCCTGGGGCTGCTGGAATGGCTGCCCTTGCCTAGGCTGGTAGGGCTGCTGCTGTGGTGGTGGCCCTTGCCTATCCTGGTAGGGCTGCCTCTGCTGAAAACCACCTGCTGGTGCTGGGAAACCAGGTGGTTTGTTGGTGTTGCTGCTCCAGGCAAAGTTGGGATGCTGGCGCCATCCCTCATTATATGTATTGCTGTATGGGTCGAAGCGCCGAGCATTGGCGATGAAGGCCACCTGCTCTTGGGGAGTAGAGGACTCCCGCATAGCCTGACAGTCCTCCACCAGATGGTTTGGACTCTCACACCACTGGCACTGAGCTACTGGAGGCGCAGCTACACCTCGGCCCGGAAGGAGACTGTTAGGCTGCTTCAGGGTCTGCACCAACTCAGCCACCTGCTGCTCTAACCCGGATCTGGCCTCCATAGCATGCACACCACGGTCCCGGGAGTGCCTGCCTCTGCTGCTCTGCCCCCAGGAATGATCGCGGGCAGCCAAAGTACTGATCATCTGGTTCAGCTCGGGTGGAGTCTTAGTAAGGATATCCCCTCCTGGGCATAGAGACTCGATCACCCTCTGGCTGTCTGGGGTGATGGCACTGTAGAAGTTCCCCACTGTGAAAGCATCGCTAAAGCCATGATGGGGACACTGCCAGAAGTATCCCATGTACCGCTCCCATGCATCACGAAGGGACTCATCTGGCTCTTGGCGGAAGTGAGTGATCTCCCACTGAATCTCAGTAGTCTTCGATGCCGGATAATATCTGTGCACGAACTTATCCGCCAGATCGTCCCAAGAAGTGATGGACAGTGGGGGCTGGGTCTCCAACCACCTCTTAGCATTCCCCGCCAGAGAATGGGGGAAGAGGTGAAGGCGGATTGCATCATCCGGAACACCATTCAGCTTGAAACCGTTTGTCAGCTGCAGAAAACGGGAAAGGTGTGCCCGGGCTTCCTCATCCTTCAAGCCATGGAACTGGATAGAGGATGTGATGAGCTGAATCCAGCCTGGCTTGATCTCGAAGTTATTTGCTGGAATGGGTGGATAGAGGATGACCGGGCGGATGTCAGCAATCCGTGGAGTGTAGTAGTACTCCAAGGTGGGACCCGGCGGTGGTGGTGGATGCTGATTCACCGGGGGAACCTGTCGAGCATTCCCCGGTTGTGGGATGTCTTCGCCCTCCATCTCGTACTCTTCCTCAGAATCGCTGGTCAAGTGGCCGTCTATGCGCTCTCCCGTAACCAGTCTAGCTCGCTGCTGTCTCCTAAGTTGGCGGCAAGTGCGTTCAAGCTCTGGATCCAACGGCAGTAAACCTCCTGACTGGCTACGGGTCATGCACTACCTGCACACACTCAAGCAAGCAAACCCGTGAAGGCACAAGTGGGAAAAACAAAAACTCAATGCGAAAATGAAAATGCTAAAGTAACAGAAATCACTTTTCTTCAACAACCTAGCCGTCCCCGGCAACGGCGCCAAAAACTTGACTCGACTCTACTGTCACTCTAGAAAATGGCCAAGTGTAACCACTTCCTAAAGCGTAGTATAGCGGGTTTGGGTTTTAATGTCAACCCGGGTCCTAGATGTGATGACTACTCGGTGAACTCTTGTTATTTAGCAGTGAACTTTTAGTGAAACTCAAGCAAACAAAACACAAAGCAAGTAAACGGTTTGTTGTCAAGTCAAGAGAGGTCACCCGGATATGGTTTCCCCCTAGACTGCAGTTAAATCAGATTGCAATTTACCAAGTCAGTTTTCATGAAAGTTATACTGCGGAAGGTTCTCAATTAGCCTGAAGTCTCGACTAAAGGTCTCCAGACCCTCTCAATCTGAGTCTCTAGCGGGCGACTAACCTCCACCGGAGTAAACAGATTGAGGCCCTAATGAACCAAACCTCCACTACCGAATTGACTTCGGTACAGAATAGCGAATTGGCCCCTCGACTAAAGTCACCAATTCACCACCTTCGATTAAGGGTACTCTATCAACCTAGGCAGATATTCTCATTCCAGGTCAAAGCAGAAACAACAGGAATTTGATCAGGATTCAAGTCATTCAATCATTCAAACCTCAATCGAATATAATCAATTCACAAACACTGTACTTGGGTTCATACAATCAGACCTAGCATACAAATCTAGGGTTCTCCATACCCAGATGAATGGGGAAACTACTCCATAGAGAAAGAAGCAAAAGCAGATTCAGACACGGAAATCATACTGTGAAGTTGGATTCCTGCTTCTGGACGTTTAATCGCACTTCTCCAAGCTCAAGACGGGCTCCAATGGTGTTGAAGATCGATCTATGGCGCTTGAGAACTCTGGTTCGACGCTTTCTCTCTCTAGGTATCGGTTTCTCTCTCAAAAACTCGGAACCCTTCAATGTTGACCTTCTTCTTCCTTAAATCAGCTGCCTGGTCGCGATACCCGGTCAAAATACCCGGTCGGGTATTTTGGGTTTCGACCGGGTATCTCTGCAGCGCACCGTTTCACTAAAGGGGGAAATCCCCGGTCCAACACCAAAATCCCCGACCGGGGATTTAACTGCTGTGCCCGGGCCCCTCTCTGCTTCTCGGGCGCCCAAAAGTGGTTAACACCCGGTCGGGTATTTGGCCAACCGACCGGGTATTTTCCTCCTTCAGCCCTATTCGTCCCAACTTTGCTCCTTTCGACCCAGAACTCGTTTCTCCGCCTCGATTCCAACGCCGGGACCTGAAATATGACATAAACACACAACCTAGCGTGAAATCGGCTTAAAACACGAGATTCCTCGTCACAAACGGCCTCAGAATAGGGGTAAAAACATGTATAATTATCAGTCTATCAAACTCCCCCACACTTAACTGTTTGCTTGTCCCCAAGCAAACCAAGTCAGACACTAGGTAAGCTTACAATTCACTCAACCAACACTGGGGACAAGTCATAAAGGCACAAAACACGTGAATCGCACTGGTTTTCAAACATCAATACATGCACAACCACAATAACAACCTGGACAACCACCACAAAGGACATTCGAGTGCAGCAAATCGAGTAAAGGAAGAGTCTCCCGTCTGTTCACTAGCCAACCTAGACTTGATTCAACCACTTACTCAAAACAGTCAGTTCATGCATCCAACTCAAGACATCAGAATAGAGACCGAGCAATCTAGGTCCTCACCGGGGTACAAGAGCATATAGAAAATGAAAACGAATCACTCACTCTCGACCAGTGGGGTCAGGACAATTTTGATGCGAAAGATGCGCATGCTATTTCTCTCAATCCCTATCATCTCTTCACCATGATGCGAAAGATGCGCATGCAACTCCTAACAAATTCCAACGCGGCACTATGCAGAACCTTCCCGTCAACATTCTCCGAAATATGCCTCGATTGGTACAACAGACTCCCAAACGGAATCATCCGCTCGTTCGAAGAGTTCATACTCTTGTTCACAACAAAGTTCGCGTCCCAAAAAAGAAGGCCTCTCCACCTCAAGGCGTTGATAGACATAAGGCAGAAGGACAGGGAAAGCCTGCAAGCATTATATGCCAGATGGTCCAGGGTGGCGATGGCCGTGCACGACCTTACTCCCGAAACCGCTGCCCATCACCTCATGGACGCCACCACCTAAGGAAGACACACTCGCACAATACGTGGAGCGTGTCAGACAACGAGCGAGTACCTTCGAGACGGTGACTTACGCACAAATACCAAGAGAGGAAAACATGCATGCCGACGCGCTGTCGAAGTTAGCAACCGCCACTGACTTTGAGTCAATGCGTCTCGTGACGGTCCAAAAGGAGGAAGAAGAAGATAATCGTCAAGAAGTGGCGATTAACACCACTCAACTCACGCCCGACGAAGACTGGAGAGCCCCGATTGTGAAGTATTTACAAGACGACACAGTACCAGATAATCATAAAGAGGCATGGGCTTTGAGGCAAAAAGCGTCCCGATGTACACTCATCGGAGGAGAGTTGTAACGACGATCATACTCGGGAGTCTACCTAAAATGCATTGGTCAGGAAGAGGCGCGCAACATGGTGCGCGACCTACACGAAGGGTTGTGCGCAATGCACGTCGGTCCACGTAGCTTGGAGCGCACCATCCTGCTACACGGATACTATTGTCCACGCGTAAAAAAGGACACGAAGAAATACGCAGACCAATGCCACAAGTGCCAGGTTAATGCACGTCAGCATCACCTCCCGTCCACCGAGCTTCAAGGCAACCTGAGTCCATGGCCTTTCGCGCAATGGGGAGTGGATCTCTTGGGCCCCTTCCCAACGGCAAAAGGAAAGCGTAAATATATTATCGTGGCAGTCGACTACTTCACCAAGTGGATCGAAGCTGAAGCACTAGCCTCGATAATGGCACAACAGGTGACGCGTTTCTTGAAGAACAATATCTTGGCGCGCTTTGGAGTCCCGAACGCGCTCATCTTCGATCATAGGAAACAATTCGATTGCAAGGTTTGCATCGGTAGCTTATCCTCAAGCCAACGGCCAAGCGGAATCCGCCAACAAAGCAATCCTACAAGGCTTGCACACCCGCTTGAACGATGGCAAAGGTAATTGGGCGGACGAGCTAAACACAGTGCTATGGGCACATCGAACCACGTACAAGGTGGCAACAGGCGAAACCCCATTCGCCCTCACGTACGGCACTGACGTGGTGATCCCCATCGAGACAACGACCCCAACCTATCGAATCACGATGTACGATGAAGAAACCAACGACGAGGCGCACCTGTTAGACTTGGAACTGGCACAGGAAAGACGCGAGTTAGCAGCCATCAAGCTGGCCGCGATGAAGGAGCAGGTGGCCAAATACCACAATGCGAAATTAGCCCCGCACAAGTTAATTCTCGGGACCAAGTGCTGAGACGGAACTTCCGCCCTGACCCCAAACATGGAAAGCTCGCCTCAGTATGGGAGGGTCCATACCTAATCCGCGAGGTGGTCGGCGCCAACACCTTCAAGCTCAGCAAATTGGGGGGCAACGCAATCCCAAGGACGTGGAACACGCAAAATCTCAGGAAATATCACCAGTCAACTTAATGTGTATTTTGTTGGTAATGGCGCATTGTCGCAATAGAATAAAAAGTACAAAGTTCGCCAGAACAAAACAATAGCAATAGTCATGAACTATTCGCGCCTACAAAGTTCGTCAGAACAAAACAATAGCAATAGTCATGAACTATTCGCGCCTACAAAATTCGTCAGAACAAAACATCATCAGTAGTCATGAACTATTCGCGCCTCCTCAGTTCGAGAGAACAAAAATAGCCATGATCATGAGTTATCCACGCTAGCAAATGAACGGGCATATCATGAACGCCACAAAGGAAACTCTTTGGATTTAATTAAGCGGGAGCAATGTTCACAACTACACTTAAAAAAAAAAAAAGAGACAAGATAATAGAAAAACAACAAAGCAACAAATTCAGGACGGTACTAGACTAACGCGACTGCACTTAGTCCGCCTGAACACCATCAGTGTTAGGCTGAACATCCTCTGTATTCGTCTGCGCCGCTTCAGCTTTTTCGCCATCCCCACTCCCGCCCTCAGCTTCCTCCCCATCCGGGCGCCCCTCCTCTTCTTCATCCTCATCCTCTGACTCCGAGTCAGACTCCAAGGGCCGCTTCTCGCCAATCCACATTTTTGACGTGTTGGACCATCTCGCGAGTATCCCAGCGCACTCCCGGGTTTTCTGGCCGAACCTAACCGCGATCACGGCCTTGGTCATGGCATCCGCCAAAATCTTCCCGAAAGAGGGGGAAGACTTGAACTGACGAACGACCGCAACCTCGGCTGCGCGAACAGCTTCCGCCTTCGCAACACTGTGAAGGCGGAACAGGTCATCCTTCTCCCTTTGGAGTTCTTCGCGAGCTTGCTTAAGCTTCTCCGCGTAAGAAGCCTCCAACTGTTCCTGGATGGCAGAGCGCTCCTCGGTCCGCACCTGCTCCTTAGCCGTCTCCACGTCGGCGGCCAACTTGCTCTGCAGGACGCCGAGTTCCTCCATAGCCTCGTTGGCTTTATTTGTCGCCACGTCAGCGCGATTCTATGAACCAGCAAGCTTCCCCTCCAGCTGAACAATCCTCGACTCCTCCGCTTTCAGCTTCGCGCGCTGTGAAGCTCGCTCCTGTTGGGCTCGGAAGGTCGCCAACAAACCCTGCACCACAACGCTCAAAGACTTAGCAAAAAATTCCATGCCATTCAATAAAGAAAAATAAATATTGGGGACTCCGCGAGGACTCAACCTAATCTTACCGCGAAATGGACCTGAGCCAGGTCATGAAGGGGGTCAGACTTCTCCAGTCGAAGCGGGATGCTCAGGACAGGGCCGAGGGCCCGAAGTGCAGTATTTGAGGAGGCCAGATTGCAAGCCGCCCCAGTGTGGATCCGCACATCGCGGAAGTAGTTGACGGCAGTGGCGGCAGTCCCTCCAAAGCCGGCCATCTCGGGCAGATTTTGTTGAATGGTAGCTCCCGACGAGCTGCCAATCGCCACCCTCTCAGGCCGAGAAGACCTACTCACCTACGCCTCTGGCTCCACGGTTGCCAGAACCAGCTGCTATGCCGTGGGTGTTGATGGTTCCGCTTGCACAGTCTGCGCCGTCTGGGCAGGTCATTCAGCTAATCGAGCCGCCTTGCGGGGCTTCTCAACAGCCAATGGCTGTTCGATCTCCTTCCGCTTCACATTCTTAGGCGGCGCGCTCACCTTCTTCTTCTTCTCGGCACGCGGCGCCTTCACAATGTCGTCAACCGACATCATGCTTACCAAGCTGGAGAAGTCAACACCTGCGCCAATAAATCGTAAGAAGGCGATTAATATGATAGAATGTAAAAGAAAAGAAACACAACTAACCATCGTCAAACAGCTCCTCCAAAACAGCCTCGCGGACCCCCCGGCATATAAATTGATCTTATGCGACATGCACGCCTCGTACTCATCGTCGAGCCCGACGTAATTGCCCGGGTCCGACTCATATCCGAGCGTGCTGCCTTTCTTCCAAACGGTTGGCTCCGCCACAAACTTATTCACCCACTCTCCGGGAGTGGCCTTGACATAAAAGAATCGCTCGAACCAAGTCTTCTTTAACTTGGGCGATCCATACACGAAGCCGTCGGGCCTCTTGTCGTGACGCTTTATGGAAAGGCAGTCGCTCCTCCTTGTTGGCTCCTTGATCTTGTACATCTTCCGGAACAAGCCATAAGTCGGCTCAATGTTAAGCCTTTTGCACGCGAGGCGGAGACAGCTCGCGTGCATGATTACGGATGGGGAGAGATGCCCAACAGAACAGTTGAGGCGCCCGTACAGAGATGTCGTCAACCGACATCATGCTTACCAAGCTGGAGAAGTCAACACCTGCGCCAATAAATCGTAAGAAGGCGGTTAATATGATAGAATGCAAAAGAAAAGAGACACAACTAACCATCGTCAAACAGCTCCTCCAAAATAGCCTCGCGGACCCCCCCCCCCCCCCCCCCCCGCGCATATAAATTGATCTTATGCGACATGCACGCCTCGTACTCATCGTCGAGCCCGACGTAATTGCCCGGGTCCGACTCATATCCGAGCGTGCTGACTTTCTTCCAAACGGTTGGCTCCGCCACAAACGCATTCACCCACTCTTCGGGAGTGGGCTTGACATAAAAGAATCGCTCGAACCAAGTCTTATTTAACTTGGGCGATCCATACACGAAGCAGTCGGGCCTCTTGTCGCGACGCTTTACGGAAAGGCAGTCGCTCCTCCTTGTTGGCTCCTTGATCTTGTACATCTTCCGGAACAAGCCATAAGTCGGCTCAATGTTAAGCCTTTTGCACGCGAGGCGGAGACAGCTCGCGTGCATGATTACGGATGGGGAGAGATGCCCAACAAAACAGTTGAGGCGCCCATACAGAGCGCATAACAACGGGTCGATGGGGAACTCGAACCCCATCACTCAATACTCTGTATAGACGCCAAACCACCCCGGTGGGCAATTGCCCACCATACTTCGCGCAGAAGAAGCAGCGTACTCCCAATGGGGGGGCAAGCCCAATCCGCGGACTATGTTCACCACATCCTCGCGATCATAGATTGACGCGTGGTCAGGCCCGCGCAAAAGATTGTCGTGCGGCGCCGGCTGATCGCCCCACATCTCCGCCCAATCTAGAACGGTATATGCAGCGCCGACCCCGCGTAGCCCTAGCCTGGCCATCATCGCCTTTGACACACGCGCAACACAACGCGGCTCTGATTGTGCACCGGATTCCTCGCGCGCCTCAGTGTTGGCGAGCCCAGACCTCCCAG